GTGTGTGTGTGTGTAATTGAAGGCCGGAGCGAGCGGATCTGATGATGACTGACACCAGTGCTGGTGTGTTCATGTTCTGATGAATCTGATGTGACTCACGAATCCTCCAGAGCTTCTGTGTGTCTGATGCTCCTCCGCACCTACTGTACTCCACACATAAACTCGCATTACTTCAGATACAACTAACTTTACGTAATATAAAATAGAATATAAACTTAAACATATTTTCCTTCATCTGTTTGCGAAGGCAATATTTCTCATTTTCATTCAGTTTGTCTTGATGGACCAAATGACTAAAACTAGATTAAAAATGAATAAAAACACAACAAAATTTTGATTATAATTAAAATGAAAAAAGAAAATGAAAACTAATTCTAAATATTTGTCATTACCACTATAGGTAAAATGTCACATTTTTCAGTACCAAATTTGGTACCATACAAAAACTATTGAAAATATATATTTTACATAACTATTTGAAAATAAGAAGTATTAAAAAATGACATGGGTTATAATTGATCATTATTATTAATAACTGAGTAAATGATGCATTAAAAATGCAGTGAAGCTTTAGTATGTAGCCTTTGCTTTAGAAGAGAAAAAATGGTAATAAAATGAAGAACAAAGAAAGATGTGAAATAAAAAGTGGCAGGTGTGTTAGTTTGCATCACACTGCAAGACAGATCTGTTATGACATCAGATTTTTAGTTTTGTCCGTTTCTGTTTATCTCTATGTGAATCATTGCATTTTCAGATTCAATCAAATATTTCATTACAGTTGTAATCACTGACTGAACTTTGCAGTGTGTAGCTAGCAGCACAAAATATATAAAATACCTGAAATATCTCATATGAATGATAACTTACAGTTTTTTTCAGCTACTTACACACATTTTCAAAACTTTGCCTCTTTTTTTCAAAACTTTACACACAAATCCAAGAATTGCACAAACAATGCAAAACGCCTCGCATCTCTTGCAAAACGAAGCACTGCATTCAAAATATCACAAACACATCTCAAAAGCAAACATTTGCAAACACCTTTGCCGTAATATTAATTCCTGTTAGATTTGTGTGTGTTACATAGAGAACTGTGTGTTGTGTTTTGCAAAAAGTGTTTTATGAAATTAAAAACGGAGTCAAAGGCTGAGAATTAGTGTATGGTTTTGCAGATTTGGTGTGTGCTTCTGCTGTTCCGAGTGTCAGCTTTCAGAAACTGTGTGACGAGGAAAGATTTTCCGTGTAAAAAAACAAAACTGTAAACCAGTCCTTACAATTTTCTAAAAAAAAATGACTAGAAAATTCTAGTGTTGACTGATATTATAATGATATTTATTTGGTCAGTATCAGACACCTTCCTGTTCCTCATTTCTGGGTCTGTCTGTGATATTTCCCATCATGCTCTCTGAATGCACTTTTCCCTCTCTGACCTTTTCATCTGAGCTTTGACCTTTTGACCTTGTTGTGTTTTACGCTCTTCCACACGAGCTCCGGTGTTCATCCTGTCATTGTGTCTTTACTTATACAGCTTTCACTGATAGAACATTTCACAAAGAAATACAAAGAAATGGCAAGTAACACACTGAAATTTTGAAGTAGGCAAACTGAAATAACCGTTGTTTTATTTACAACTTTTAAAAATCACTTTTTGTGGTATGTCTAGTATAGCTGTGGCCAGTTTAAACGCTGTATATTCTTTGACTTGCATGTGAAAGCCAGCGCTGCTCATGGGTTTGATTCACTCACTCAAGACTCTCTGGATAAAAGCACCTGCTAAATGCACAGGCGTGTTTAATTAAGATCCATCAGTGATTAAGAGCAGCCTGACGATGGCTGTGTGAACGAGCAGACGTTCAGCACCGGCTCTTCAACACTAACCTGAAGTGACTGGGAGAAAATTGCGAAGGCAAATTGGACGCAGTTCCATTAGGAAGCGCAGAAACACCTTTAATTCCAGATTTAATTGAGGCTGTGATCCAGCAGCACCATCAGCCGCTGTCATTAGTGAGCGTGTCTCGTTACTGTGTGTGACAGTCATTCAGAATGACCATTACATTGCTGTGATTCACCCACATCACACACACACACACACACACACACACTAATGCTGGTTCTATCATCAAATAATTACCCGGTTGAGTTTAATAGCTCTCGTTGTGTTTTTGCTCTGAGTGGACGGAGCCGTTGCCATGAGAACGCACATTATAACCTCGTCAGCTCATTCGTTTTTATATAAACATCAATATCGTGCAAAGAAACATTATAATTACAGAAGTGAATGGAGGAGCAGAGATATTACTGATTCCATAAACTCTTGAATGTGAAGCTCGTTTGTGAAGAGCTCGTTTAACTAGAGTTGTTTTGATTGCTGATGAAGGCCGATGGTTTATTTCAGGCGGCAGAGAAACAGCAGCAGGTGAATATGAGAGAGTCTTTACATTCTCATCATGAGCATCAAACTAAGCTGAATGGCAAATATATTCACATTAACCCTGACATATGAAATAATAGGCAGAAAAACCCGACTTTCTGAAGTGGAACAGTTCATTGAAGCTTTGAACTAAATATTATTATTATTATTTTAAATTATTTTGAATAAATGCATTCTGAAAATATGATTTAAACACAATCAAATAGTTAATAATAAACTGTCATGATTTGAGTGCATTGTTCATTGTTCAGTTTCATTGATGTATGACTGACAAATATGATCACATTAATTTTATTAGATTGTTGATGTTAAAAGTGTTTAATCCGAATGGATGGAAATTTATTAGTGCTATCAATCAATTTAAAAAAATTAACTAATTAATCGTACAATTTTTTTCTGAAATTAATCGCGATTAATCCCACCTAACATTTAAGTTTTTAAATATACTTTTATATTGCAATAATTTCACAATCAATCATCAAATTAATGTAGAAACAACATAAAGACAGCATATTTTTATTATTTGTTTAATGGCTTCTTTTTTATGACTGAAGGAAAAATGTTTTCCTAATATTTAACCATTCAACATTACAGTATAATTGAGAGCTATTATTTTTAACATTTATTAGACTTTCAAAAATAACAACTAATTTAAGTGAAGGGAACTTAAAACAATCTTCATATAAACCCATTATAATAAATGTCATATTTAGCTACCTGTGCCCTTATATACAGAAACTGAATAAAGTTGTCAAACACTAAATTCTAAATTAAATATAGATGAATCAATAGTTATTGATTTCCTCTTTTTTCTTTTGTTCTTTGATGAACAGACATCACAGCAGCTGGTTATTAGATTATTTGGCTGCTATTACTTTAAGAGCTGCCTCTGCTGAACATGACGCGGATCTGACATGCACGCTCGTAGTTTCATCCGCGCTTTAATATGAAATGATACAGGCTACAGCGAGAAAATTCGTTTTTACTGGCATATGGCCTGACAACAGCTCATCTGACTGCAGTTCACTGATGTTCTACTGAAGCACCTTGTCACCTGTACCGTGTGTTTCCACGCTCGTTTGAGATGAAGTGGAGCAAGTTCTCCTGTTTGATGTGCGCATAAAAACATTGTGTGTCTAAATAAACGCAATTCTTGTCAAGAATAAAGTGACAGAAGCAGCAGTTGGGGTGGCCAACCCAAGCCCCACCCCTGAGTTAACTGCATTAAAAATTGTAAACCCCGTCAAACTGGAAAAATTAATGCGCTAATTTTGACAGCACTAAAATATATGTGTAATTGATGATGTTCAGGTCCGAGTGTGTTTGGCGTTTGACATTTACAGTGACATTTACATCTTTTGCTAGAGTACGGTGTGTCTCGTCTCTGAATGAATCGCCTGAATCAAACAGAGAGTGTTTTAGTGTCTGGACCGTTTAAGCCAGTCCTGATCCCAGAATGCCCTGCTCCGATGATGGACAGCGTCTCAGAGCTTCTCCAGGGAAACTCAGCAGCTCCTTGAAGCCTTTGAACATTATCACGGTGCTCGCGTCTGTGTCCGGATGCAGGAAGCCGCTAAATTTAGCACAATAACAGTCAAGTGTTTTTAAGGCCTGAACTGGTGACACATTGCGACTCGTTTATCTGATGTCTGATATCTTCACGCAGATCATTAGACTCGTGCGCTGTATTACAAGAAGAACTGACATGATGTTTGAACCGAACAAGTGAAAATGTGATAAAGATTTAGAAACATCATAGTTTCATCAGACTTTGAAATGTGAGGTTGAAGTCACTGGATCTGTTGGATCTTTATGGCTTTATTATCTAATATAAATGCAAGATTGTCTTTCAGAGCTCTCAGAAATGAAGCAGCGGCGGTATGATATTGTTGAGTTAGGACTCTATTGGGGCCTGTGTTAACGTCTCTGAACACAGTTTGAGTTGATGTGCATGAGGGATCTGCGCTCGCATGCGCCGTTAGCATGTGCTGTTAGCATGCGCATCCCGCCGTCTGTCTGCTGTGCTTAATATTCATGCGTCTCCTCAGGGACGGACTGACAGCCCTGCTGAACACCAGATCCATTCACATGCTGCTGCAGGCTGCTTTAGATGCTGGAATAACACTGACAAGTCTTGCTGTGTGATCTAACTGTATAATATATAAGTAATATAATGTATAAATGTACTTGGTGAGTTTGATGTGGGTTTAAAATACTACTATGGTTGTAAATTGTTTTAAGTCAAGTCACCTTTATTTCTAGAGGTCTTAATTTGATACAGATTGCATCTTCACAGAAATAAACAGGAAAATAACAGTGTTAATGCTGCAAATTTATGAAACAAATTCAATTTCAGCTATAAGCAGCTCTGCAGAAGACCATAGTAGAGTTCAGTGTTGAAATTATTCAGTTCAATAACTATGGAATAAATTCAATTGAAATGTGGTTCATAATAGTATTTTTCTTCCCTAAAATAAAGAGATATGAATATGATATGAATCAGATATGAATCTAGTTATATCTGGGTTCTAATCATGAAACTCTTTTTGTTTTAGCAGTGAACATGCTGATGACGAGAGGTTTATCAGGTGAGTGTCTCTCATGTCTCAGTCATGTCTCAATCATGTCTCAGTCATGTCTCAATCATGTCTCAATCATGTTTTAGTCGTGTGTCAAAGTCATGTCTCAGTCATGTCTTAATCATCTCTCAATTGTGTCTCAGTTGAGTCTCAGTCGTGTCTCTGTCGTGTCTCTCAGCATGTGGACTGACGCTCTGTCTCTGCCATGTTTTAATCATGTCTCAGTCGTGTCTCAATCATGTCTCAATCGTTTCTCAGTCATGTCTCAGTCGTGTCTCAGTCAAATCTCTGTCATGTCTCAGTCGTGTCTCAGTCGTGTCTCAGTCGTGTCTCCGTCATGTCTCAGTCAAATCTCTGTCATGTCTCAGTCGTGTCTCAGTAATGTCTCAGTCAAATCTCAGTCGTGTCTCAGTCATGTCTCAGTCATGTCTCAGTTAAATCTCAGTCATGTCTCAGTCATGTCTCAGTCAAATCTCTGTCATGTCTCAGTCATGTCTCCGCCATGTCTCAGTCAAATCTCTGTCATGTCTCAGTCATGTCTCAGTCGTGTCTCAGTCAAATCTCAGTCGTGTCTCAGTCAAATCTCAGTCGTGTCTCAGTCATGTCTCAGTCAAATCTCTGTCATGTCTCAGTCATGTCTCAGTCGTGTCTCAGTCAAATCTCAGTCGTGTCTCAGTCAAATCTCAGTCGTGTCTCAGTCATGTCTCAGTCAAATCTCTGTCATGTCTCAGTCATGTCTCAGTCAAATCTCAGTCATGTCTCCGTCATGTCTCAGTCAAATCTCTGTCATGTCTCAGTCGTGTCTCAGTCATGTCTCCGTCATGTCTCAGTCAAATCTCAGTCATGACTCAGTTGTGTCTCTCAGCATGTGGACTGATGCTCTGTCTCTGTCATGTTTTAGTCATGTCTCAGTCGTGTTTTAATCATGTCTCAGTCGTGTCTCAATCATGTCTCAGTCGTGTCTCAGTTGTGTCTCTCAGCATGTAGACTGATGCTCTGTCTCTTCAGACGCAGACGGCGCTGATCAATCGTTCACCCAGCAGCCGTGGCTCCTGCAGTGCAATCAAACGCTCCTGCTGCTGGAGATGGAGAGATGCGGAGAACGATTCAGCAGCGACATGAATCACGTCCATCCAGACGACAGATGCAACCTCACGCACTTCATCAGGTGAATCACCATCCTCATCATCATCCTCTACAGCACTTTACTCTCCAATCTATACAAATACAAGAGTCACTCATCTCAATGAGTCCAGCTTAATTAAACATTAATGAGCCTGTGTGTGAGAGAGAGTATGTGTGTGTTTGTGTTTCTTTTTCAATTCATAAGTCGTCACATTTATTTCTACAGCGCTTTATGCAATTCAGATCGATTCAAAGCATCTTCACAGTAATAAACAGGAAAATACATTGTTAATGTTGTAGAATTCATAAATGATGAAACAAATCCAATTTTAGCTGTAAGCAGCTCTACAGAAAACAATAGAACCATTATTCAGATCAATGCAGTTCAACATTTCTGATTGAAGTAATTGAGCATAATGAGACGCTTCCCGTCACTTTTATGAGGCTGATTTGAAGATCAATATATCTGGATCATATCCACTCAAATATGATGAATGATGCGACACTGGAGAGTGTTAGACTCTGAAACACACTGCGTTCTGCTGTATTTGTGCTGTGAGGACTCGGACGGGTAACTAGTTGAGTAGTTAAACGGTTCTCACAGACTCAATGATCTGCTGCGTGTGTTTGTAAATGCTCCGCTGTGATTGATGAATCTGTGATCTGCTGATGTTTATTCTTGAAGACGTTCCAGGAACTCATAGTTCACACTGATCTTGAGCTCCTTCCAGAGACTCGAGGAGTGTTTGACACTCGTCAGCCGGTCAGATGTTGATAAACCAGAAGCACAACACTGTTTACATGTTTATCTGGAACAGAAGCCAGCAGTTCTGACCACATTCACTCTTGAGATGACAGTGACCCTTCACATGTCCAGATCATGTCTTTAAAATGGACAGTATTTATTAAGAATAAGGCAAAACCAGTGTGTTTTCATGCACTGCTCAGTTTTTGTCTTTTCTTTCAGAGTAATGCAAAGAAAACATTCAACTACACATTAAGTGTTTATTTTATTGCACTTTATCTGTTTTTGTCTATAGATTTTAATTACAATCCATATCTTTAAAGAGTTTTTTTCTCTTTACAGTTTTATTCCTCTCCACACTGCAAAAGATTATTTTCTTACTTGGATATTTATACTAGAAAGCAAGACAAAATACTAAGAATTCTTGAATCAGGATGAATTTACTTGACAAGTAAAATGACTTAAGATATTGTCTTATTTTCTGAAAAAAAATGATCAAAATTATGTTAGTTTTTGCTTAAAACAAGCAAAAATATCTGCCAATGGGCCAAGAAAAATACTCTTGTTTAGCTTTGAATTAAGATTATTTTTCTTACTCCATTGGCAGATATTTTTACTTGTTTTAAGCAAAAGCTTACATAATTTTGATCTTTTTTTTCAGAAAATAAGACAATATCTTAAGTCATTTTACTTGTCAAGTAAATTCATCCTGATTCAAGAATGTTTAGACATTTATACTAGAAAACAAGACAGAAATACTAAGTAAGAAAATCATTTTCTGCAGTGTATATTCTGATTGTTTTTACATATTTCATTCACACTGATTTATAAACATTTCACTCCTGAAAACATGGTGAAAATGTGTTTGTTTTCTGTCTGTTGACAGTATTTTCTGATTTATGCACAAAAAGAGAAATCCAGAATCCCCTCTGGAAAAACCTTTAACTCTAATAAGACAACAAAATCAAACACAAATTATGAACTTGACTTTTATCCAATAATCAGATGTATGTTCTGGAAATGTGTGCATTTGTGCGTATTTAATTAGAGAATGCTTCATTTGCATATTTAAACATAACATTTCAGAAAACGAATAATACACTAAATGTTTTTTGCCTCTGATGACTAGTAACAGCAACACACAGATGTGAGGAATCATTCACGTCTGCAGAGCTCTAGTTCCAGTGATGAGTGACTCAAACACCATCAAAACGATAATAATAATCAGAAACGAGGGTTTGAGCTGGACGCTGGTGAACATCAGTGACCCACGACTCACTTGCACACCATTAGGTTCACCGCTGGACGCTTTATTAAGACAGACCATTAGACGGGTCACAACATGAACCCAATTACTGAGATCCTGAGCGGGACTGTTTTCCTAGACTCTGGAGGAAAGAGCCTACAGGCGTCAGCAGGGACCAATCACAGCTCACACACAGCCGCTCATTTGCATACTAATCACAGGAAACCTTCATGAACCTCTTTAACTTCATTTATTCAGTCACTGAGGTCCAGTATTTCACTGGAGATTGACCTGCTCAGACGCGTCTCAGACTGTCTCGCTGTGCCTCACTGTCTTCTGCTCAGCAGATCAGCGTTTCTCTGGTCTGGTGGAGGTTTTTCTCCATGATAACATCAGCAGATGGGACAGCAGGTGTGTTTTTGCTGAAGATGGTTGCTGATGACAGATAGTGAGTGCTGCGGTCCCTGATGAGCTCTTTACTAACGGCTGATACGATCACATGACCAATAGAGAATCAGTGACGACCGTGCTAATGGGATCTGATCATAACAGACACACACACACTCACACACACACACACACACACACACACTCACACACTCACACACACACACACACTCATTTTCATTAAGAAAGCAAAGCCTGTTTTGCATTCATATCAAATTAATTTAATCCCAAACATTCTTGTCATTATGAAAAAAAAAATTATTATTTCATTTTGAAAGTCACATTCTGCTTTTAATAAAAACAATCATTGTGTCTGTATAGGCCGATTTTTGTGGCTATATTACAATGATGAGAGATTTTTTTTTTCATGACATTAATAATTGAATTAGAAAAAATGTTATTACTTTGAAGCTGTCTTGAAACAATCTGTATGGAATACAGTGCTATACAAATGAATATGACTTAATAAGAAAGTGAAACACCACAAATTAACAATGTTTAAAACCATGTTACAATGTTTCTGAAATGTTATGTATGAATATGCAAATTAAATCTGCACACTTCTTAGATTTTTTCCTCATATTAGAGTTAAAGGTTTTTCCAGAGGGGATTCTGGATTTCTCTTTTTATCACTCCATAAATCAGAAAATACTGTCAACAGACAGAAAACAAACACATTTTCACCATGTTTTTAGGAGTGAAATGTTTATAAATCAGTGTGAATGAAATATGAACAAACCTTCAGAATATAGAGAGGAATAAAACTGTAAAGAGAAAAAACTCTTTAAAGATATGTTATGGAGCAAAATACAGCAAAACTTTAGCAGTGCATGAAAACACGCTGGTTTCGCCTGTAGTGTCTCAAAGAAGAGTCTGCATGTGTTTAATTGTCATGAAGATATCCCAATGCAAAGCATCTTCATGATCCTCAGAATCAGGCTTCATGTTCTTTGTGCCAGTATTAATATCTTGTGTTCTGGACGTCGATCAGGAGGATTGTGTGAGGAAGTGTGCTTTGGTATTGTGATGTAAATTCTGTTCATCTGCGTCTCAGTGAAGATGAAGAGGAAAGAACTTTATTAGCGTTATAAAGCTCAAGTCACGGGCAGAACTCTGGCTAATTGGAAAGATTTGTTTGAAAAGAGTCATTAAACGCTGAATATGAGCCGTTTCTCTGGCTGACGTCCTGAAGGAAATGAGTGATGCACTGATTGCTGTGAAAGAAAACGACCTGAATTTCTCCATCACATGTGACCCTGCAGCACAAAAGCAGTGTTAAGTCGCTGGGGTATATTTGTAGCAATAGCCAACAATACATTGTATGGGTCAAAATTATACATTTCTCTTTTATGCCAAAAATCATTAGGATATTAAGTAAAGATCATGTTCCATGAAGATATTTAGTAAATGTCCTACCGTAAATATATCAAAACTTAATTTTTGATTAGTAGTATGCATTGCTAAGAACTTCATTTGGACAACTTTAAAGATGATTTTCTCAATATTTAGATTTTTTTGTACCCTCAGATTCCAGATTTTCAAATAGTTGTATCTCGGCCAAATATTGTCCTATCCTAACAAACCATACATCAATGGAAAGCTTATTTATTCAGATCAGGTTTCTGCTTGTCTCCTCAGAGAGTATCACGTCTTCTCCTTCTGCACGGAGATGAACGCCGAGCGCATCGGCTGCTTCTGGCCGAACCCAGCGGTGGAGCGCTTCATCATCAGCATCCACAAGCACTTCTTCTCCAACTGCAGCCTGGAGCACGTGGTGTTGGTCGACCCGCCGGACGACACGCTCACCCTCCTCATCCTCGTGCCCGTCTTCCTCACGCTGGCCATGGTGGTGCTGGTGGTGTGGTGCAGCAAGCGGAGCGACATCCTCGCCTAGCGTCTGTGGATGAAGAACACGCTCACAGCAGGTTTGGTGTGTGCTTCTGCTGTTTGAGTGTCAGCTTTCAGAAACTGTGACGAGGGAAGATGAAAAAGCTGTAATTCAGTGCAAATAGAGAGCGGGAGTGAAGCTCTGTCAGGATCTCTGGAAGGAGGACTACATGTATCATGCACTGTACAGCTATTATTTAATGTTTTAATTAAATAACGTAGATTTAGAGTATTTGTCAAGCTCACACTGCCGTGTTTGTGGTTTTTGTTGGGTTCGTTATCATCTCGACACGCATCGCCGGCTCATTTATCCAGTGATTTTAGCTTGAGTTTTCTTCTCTGACTAAATGATCAACATGTTCCTGTGAAACACAAACGCCTGAAGCGGGACATGTGAACGAGTTCGAGTGAGAATCCGGCCAGGCTGGTTTTAGGATGACGGTATTATTTATATGAGAAGGAAAGCCGTGTATTGTGTGCGACTTAGAGATACAAACAAAAGACAATAGTTGCTCTCAAGCGCCTGGCCTCGTGTTCTGCAGAAGAGCCGCTCGCGCCGCAGGAAGGATATCAAAGTCTTTCCCAGCGCGGCCGATGAATGAGAGGAAGAAGTGGCCTGGTTATGATTTTCACCAAAAGAGCTCCAGGAACCGCTGCCGTGTTCCCCAAACGTGTGTGTTCTGATGGAGAGATGATGATCGTCTGTGAGCGTCGTCTCGTCAATCTGCAGCATTTCTTATCCTGCTGTGCAGAACAGCAGCCTACATTTCTGTATTTGAACTGCATAAAACATATTCCATCGATTAGGATTTCACAGTTCTAACATAAACTAATAAACTTCTTAGCATGAACTGATAAACTGAAAGTAATGCATATTTATCAGTTATTCGTCAATGAAACAGGTCACTCAAGAAATCCTTTACTATTTGCATCTACTTGATTTTATTTAAATATTTAAAAAAGAGTTTATTACAGTTTCTTAGATTCGGTTTAAATCTGTTTGTTGTGAAAATAAATAAATAAATTCAGTTTAAAAGTATGAAGATGTGACTACCTGTGAATTGAACTGAAACAAACTTTATTTATTAATGATAAATATATCACTGCAAAAAATGATTTTCTTACTTAGTATTTCTGTCTTGATTCAACATTCTTCAATCAAGATGCATTTAATTGACAAGTAAAATGACAAGATATTAAGTCTTGTTTTTGTTTTTTTAAAATGATCAAAATTATGTTAATATTTGCTTAAAACAAGCACAAATATCTGCCAATTGAGTAAGAAAAATAATCTTAATTCAAAGACTAAACAAGAGTATTTTTCTTGCCCCATTGGCAGATATTTTTACTTGTTTTAAGCAAATATTAACATAATTTTGATCTTTTTTTTCAGAAAATAAGACATAATATATTAAGTCATTTTACTTGTAAATTCATCTTGATTCAAGAATTCTTAGTATTTTTGTCTTGTTTTCTAGTATAAATATCTAAGTAAGAAAATCATTGTTTGCAGTGTATAAAGTTATATGAAACAAACTTTATTTATTAATGATAAATATATAAAGCTAGTTATTGTGTATTTAAAGTATTTAAAGTTTATGAACACTATTACAGAAATCTGACCTGTTTCATTGCTGTAAGTTTTTAATTCAAATGCATAAATCTTAAATTGAAGTGTTTGATTGAGGCCTCATATATATATATATATATTCCTGTAGGTCTGTGTGTTTTGCTGCCAGCAGGCTCTCTGTTCGGAGTGTATTATCGGAAGTCGCCTTGAGAGTCGATTGAGAGGTTTTCAGTGCCTCCAGCGCTCACTTCCTGTTTACTTTAGAACTCCCACACTGCTAAAGTTCACGCAGAAGCACAACGGAGCTAAGTTTAACTGGACGCACAGATTGAGGACGTGATGTTCATCTGGAACGCAGAATCAATCAGAGCTTCTTTCCTGCTGAAATCATCAATTATACGTTCATCTGACACTCAAGCACTGTTTCAGCAAAGGGTTTCTGTCTATCTTAGATAATAAATGATCTGATTTATTCTGTTCATGTTTGATTCATTCTGAAGTGTTGATGTGATTCACTCGCAGCAGCTCATGATTCATGTTTCACTGTTGATTTTGATGCGGTTCTTCAGCTCAAACCAGGCTGGAATGGGTCGTTTTTGTCTTTAACAGGAGCTTCAGGTCAATATCTAATGATATCTAACACATTTTCTTTCAGATTTATGCAGCACTTTTGGATCATATGATTCGTTCACTCAATGATTCTAAACAGCTGTGATTCATCTGTAATGTTCATAATAAATACATCGATTCCAGACGCTGCTGCTGTCGAGCAGAAAAACACACATATACAGTAAATATGATTGTTCTTCTGCTCGACAGCAGCAGAGCGTCAGTATAAATGTATCTCAGCTCTGGAATAAAGGTTGAATTCTGCTAATATTAGTCTCTATTGTGTCAGTGTTACAGGAAATGATGCATCTGACGCCCGTCTGGACACACGACCCACATTCACTGAGATTTCAGCTGGAAATAGAGTTAAATAGAGTTTCTGACACTGACTTTGACCCGCAGCTACTGTCTCTGAACGTCACTGCACACTCACACACACACACACACACACACACACACGCTCGCTCACACACACACACACACACACACTCATACATTATATGTGGCTGAATATAATATTGATAGAGGTCAGCTGTGGCTCTGGTTTGGTCCTCATGTGTTCAGATGAGTGTTTGATTCATGAATGAATCATGAACAGACTCTCTCTGTGTTGACTCTCAATGACGATCATGGTTGGTTAATGTAACGTGATTTTAGTAGTCGATGCAGATGATGTTTCTCCATCGCTGCTGATTGTGAAAGATCAGCGTGAGGAAATGAAGAGTAAGAGTTTCTCTGATGAAACTGGATTCTCAGATGACCTCTGATGAGTTTCTTAACTCTGAACTCCATTTGTGAACTCGCTGCTGTGGATCGCAGAGCCGAAGTATAGTGTGCTTATAGTGTCGGTGACAGAAGATCATTCTGCGTGAGCTTCTCTGAGCGGGATTTGATGGTGATGCTTTCATCTGCGTCAGTTCAGTTCGCACACACACACACACACACACACACACACACACACACGCACTCCTTGCTTTCCTTGACGGTCTAAGAGAGCATATGTTCCAGCTGGACCTCAGGGAACCAGCACAGCCAGAGCAGCCTTGTTACATTGTTGTTTGGGATAATGTCAGCTTCCATTGCGCTGCTCTGGTTCGTGACTGGTTTACCAATAACCCGAGGTTTTCTAACATCTTTCTGCCTGCATACTCTCCCTTTCTAAACCCGATAGAGGAGTTTTTTTCGGCATGGCGGTGGAAAGTGTATGACCGAGAACCTTATACCCGTGCTCCCCTCCTCCAGGCCATGGAAGAAGCCTGCCTAGACATATCAGTAGATGCATGCCAGGGGTGGATGAGGCATGCAAGAGGATTTTACCCTCGCTGCCTGGCTAGGGCCAATATAGCCTGTGATGTGGACGAGATTCTCTGGCCTGACCCAGAACAAAGATGGGATGATGAGGCGGAATAATTGTTTTATTATTTTTTTAAAACATTTTTTACAGTTGTGCTGTGTAGTACATGAATGAATAAAAATGTGCCAATGTATACATTGGTTGTGTCTTTTGTGTTCATGTGAAAAGGTTTTTGAGGGGGAGAACCACAAGCAACATAACTTACCAGTTTTGGATATATTGTTTTGAATTTATTGCACCAGTGTGTAATACTATGTTGTAGTGTGTGTTTTTGAAAGCTTGTGTGTGAAAGCTTGTGTGTGATGTCTGAGGGAAAAGTTTGGCTTTTCAGCAAGAGTGAATGGTTTTGAGTGTAGAGCTTCATTCTGACCTGAAAATAGGATGTTTGGGGAATTGGGAGAGACGTTATGGATTTGTGTTTACTGTTTTGAGAATACGAGGCATAGTTTCAAGAAATGTGTTTAAGCAATCGAGAAAAACTGTAATCCCATTCTATTAAGCAATGTCTTTGCTTCTGACCTTTGATCCAGTTCAACCATACTAATAAGCAAAAATTACTCTAGACAAACATTTGTGTGTCTTTTTTTTATTGCTGAAGAGTTGATATTTCTTCTGCACTCTACAGACAAATCCACAAGATAGGGTTGATGAAAACATAGAAATGCAGTAAGGACCAATCCAGTTGACAGTTTATTGTATGCCTACTGAAGTTTTTTCTTATCTTTTTTTCTTATCTATTTTTTTCTTAAATTTTTTGAAAGTGATCGATCTTCTCTGTTATACTCTACAGCACAAGCGCCTGATGCTCCTCTGGAATAAATGCAGGACAAATCTCATCAAAACAATATCCTCAGCTTAACAAATGCCTTTTATTTTCAGCTCCCCTTAAATGATGGGTGATGATGATGATAATACTCATATGTGAACTAATATAGTCGCTCAGCGGTGATCAACATGACAACCAGCTCGTTTTCAAACTCTTGTGTGGGGTGTTTGGATGCTTCCCGCTGTTCAAGCGATTGTGTAAGACAGTATTTCCATGAAAAGGTTTTTTTCTGAGAGCTTTTATTCCCAAACTCCCAGCGAGGATCCGCTGCTCTTCAGATCTCAGACGCTTCTGTCTCTGAGGAGAATCAAAGACATTCTCAGCAGAAGAGAGTGTGTTATTTATTTATTTAGACATTAAACTGCAGTGGAGAAACAGGAGAAACGGCCTCAGGGTTCACAGTATATATATATATATATATGTACTGCTGCAGAATCTTACTTTGATTTCACACGTTTGGACAAAATGCTCCACAGTAAGAGTCCAAGAGAGCTAGCTTCTGCAGGACACATCTGTAATATTTCTGAATTAATCATCAGATTCTCAGACGGAGAGTGTGAAACATTCAGAGACACGATCAAAATCAACATTCACTAAAAACCAAAGAAATGATCTGAAGTTCACACTCTGCTGAAACACACTAACGGTTTACATCATTACAGTCTGATGTCTTCAGTCACATGTGAGGATGATGATGATGATGATGATGATGGTGGGAATGTGAATCTGATGATGTTTGTTTTGAAGGGAATATTAAAGCATCTTCCTCTCGGGAACATTCCTCCTCCTCCTCCTCCTCGTGTACATGTCAGACTGACCTCTGTGCAGCCACAGGCTCAATGAAGAAAGATCTGTGTGTGTGTGCGTGGTGTTTGTCCATCTGGTCGTTATCACAGTAACGAGTGGCTCACTCTCCGTTCACTGCACTGTAATGATGTTTGTCTGCAGTTTTCTCAACGAATGCTGATTAGTTGTGTTTGAATTTGATTTATTAATCAGCATGTAATTCATTTTTTTCTTCAATCGGTTGACATTCATCGTCATATCAGCAGAAGCTAACAGGAAACACAGCGAGGTCACTTCTTGTAATTGCAGGCACTGATCGGGATGAAGATGTTCTCTCTACTTTGAACTCCAACGTTCCTGACAATATTAAATGATGCCAGGACAGAAATATTTAAACAATTGGACTGGAACTATAAACAGACGGCTGAAGCTGATTATATAACGTGGAAATTGTTTTTCGCAGCATGTGCGTCTCTTTTGTATGCGTTCCTCCTGAATGCACAGGAACAGGAAACAGCCCGCGGTTACGGAGCAAGAGCCGCTTGGTAACGGATGGATGGACAGATGGAGGAATAAATCTCTTCTCTCATTCCATGACAAACTACATCCCACTGGCTGCAGATTAATAAATGCATTTGGAAAGGAAAATATTATTTCCTGTCATATATGAGTGATTATTGGCGTATGTTTTACAAGAGAATATTATTTCAGTTCTACTTTGAAATTTCACATTTAATTCAGTTTTACTTGCTGTGTCTTTGTAATTATTTGTGAAATTTACTAGCAATTTCTTAAAGGGGTCATATGATGCTGCTAAAAAGAACATTATTTTGTGTATTTGGTGTAATGAAATGTGTGTGTGTGTGTGTGTGTAATGTGTAACAATAAGTAATGTTTCTGTTCCTGT